CTCTCGACGTACGAAAACCACTCTCTAAAAGTCACTCATCATGCCCGTGTTTGAATATGACGCAGAAGCATGGACAATGACAACATCCGATGAGGCGGCGTTTGGAGTATTCGAGAGAAAGATTTTTCAGAAGATTTACGGGCCTTTACGCATTGGCGACGGAGAGTACCGCAGACGATAGAATGATAAGCTGTATGAGCATAGACATAGTGCAGCGAAGCCGGCTCCTCTGGCTTGGCCATGTCGTTCGAATGGACTCTGACGCTCCAGCTCCGAAAATATTCAACTCGGAAACCGCCGGTGGTAGCAGAGGGGGAAGGAGGCCCCCACTGCGATGGAAAGACCAAATGGAGAAGGACTTGGCTTCACTTGGCATTTCCAATTGGCGTCAGTCGGCAGAGAAGAGAAACTACTGGCGTGATTTGTTGAACTCGGCCAAAATCGCTTAAGCGGTTAAAGCTCCAAATAATGATATGATTTGAATGGTAGTTTATTATCCTACCCGACGCAAAGAACTCTGTGTGCCAATTGAATTTTATACTACTATTGCGACGTCTTTGTAGTTCTGCATCAAGAAATGCCTATGAATCTTATTTTTGTGGTGATGCATTTACGGATTTTAACATAGTATCTTCCATGTCATTTGAGTTTACTATTGCAAATAGATCGTCTACATATTTTGTTATGTATTTGATTGTATATTTTGCTGCTTTAATTCAGCCAGGCTGTCGTCAAGTATTTTGTCTAGTTAGAACCACGGTGCAGCGAACAAAGGTGGCGCCGTCAGTGGTACCGCTACTTTGGTTTTGCCATTTTGACAGTTGTGGTAACTTGCAAATAAACCTTTGTTTACAAATCAGCGAAAGAGAAATTTGAATTAGAAGTTAAAAATCAGTTTAAGTTGTGTTAATTTGCAATTTGTGAGTGATTTTTGAGTTGAAGACTGCGTTAAAACTAATAAAATTAAGTGCTGTGTGTTAAATTGCGACAACCATCAAGATGCAAGATGCGTAGATGCAAGTGTAGCGCTGGGACGAATCGCTGCATTTTGTGTACATAGGGCACGGCAAAGCCGTTCCCGAAATGTTTCTTTATTATTACATTAACAGCATTTCCTCACAATGATTTTGCTTCTGCTCAAAGCAACCTCCATTAGCAAGTTAACTAATCAATCCCGTTGAGATGCTGCCGCAGTTTTCTGCAGCAGCCTTAATTGCAAAGCAACGGAGTGCACTAAAACGTTTGCTGAAGCAGCCCCAATTGCAAGGCAATGGAGTGCACTCAAATTTTACCTATTCTCTAATAGATTAGCTAAAAATGCAATATTTTCGCATTTAGCAAAATTAAAACACGTTTTTCGCTGTAAGGTGAACTGTTTTTGCAGTTTCAATTCGTTCTTCTTTTCGCTCTATTCTTTGTTTACTTGTGGTACACAAATGTCAACGCTCAGGACGGCGCAATCTTTTATTCTATCATTCTTGAGTTAGAACAATATCTACAATTGTTGGTGACAATGGATTCCCCGTAGGCGTGCCATAAATTTGTTGGTAAAACGTGTTGTTGTATCTAAAATAGTTATTGTCAAGTAAACGAAATCCGAGTATCATGTGGAACTGCTTCTTTGATATCTTGGTGTGGCTCTCCAAATTGCTCCACTTTTTCATAATAGTCTGTATAGTTAAATGTATGGGGATGTTTGTAAATAGGGAAATGACGTCGAAGGATATTCGAATTTTTTTATATTTTGGAAACTTTCTTTAAGTTGATATGGCCCAAAACGCGGACTGTTAGATTACATTTTGGCTCACACTGCTTTTAAAATACCGCTGAAACTCGCCAGAATACAATTTCTGATAGTTTTTCTTCTTGCATCTGAAAGCATAAGGAGGTGCCATTATTTAACATATACTTAAGATATATTGTAACTCCTGTTGTTTGGAAGTACTTTTTAACGTTGCTTTATATTATTGAAAAAGTCTGCTCTCCTAGTATATTGTTTTCAAAAGTTGGTACACAGTTTCTTAGCTAAAGGATGAAACTCAAGAACTACGTATTAATTGAACTGATAAAATTAATTTTGAGGTCAATATTTACAAAAAATAGTGGGAGAGTTACGTTACAGAAAAATACTGTTACGTACCTGTGCGATATACATACGTACAGCAGTAAGATTATAATTAGATTTTTAAATGGTGTTTAGTGTTTCATATACACTAAGTAGCATGAATTCAGTAGTCTTGCGATGTGAGATGTAATTCAAAGATATTAAGAACATGGTAATTATTATTGCAGATTTTAAAGTTTCTGATGTTGTGCTGCTGCAGGCCGTTTCAGAAGCATTTTTTTGCTTAGAACTCGAGTTCGATCTTAAAACTGCGCCAAGATGTTGAGCTTTTCTGCGGTTAAGTAGACGAAAAACGGCTTTAATGGCTTCTTTTCCTTGACCTATGCTATTTAGTTCTATTCTTACCCTTCAAATGCGCCTTGGAGTGGTGCTTTTTTCTTATGAAACTATGGCCACTGGAAGATGACGTAATGAGTTAGAAAGCATATGCTTGGTTTGGCGATGTTAGATTGGAGGACACGGCAGTTAAAGTAGTTGTAACTCTTGAAGAAAAAATCTTATAGCACCATTCGAGAGTGCATTTTGAAGGATAATAATAGTACTAGAACAATAGGCGAAATAGTTCCAATAGATTCTTATTAGATTATTTAATAGGAAAATCTTCTTTTAGCTTCTTATTTCGCTTCTTTTGAGGTCGTTCCCTTTTGAAATAATATAACTGTCGAGTTTTTTTATTTTTCTACATAATTCCTATCTACTAGCCTATATAAGTT